CCTCAGCAAACATCTTTTTACACTTCCTTAATGACCAGATCAACGGAAATATCTTGAGGTTAATTGTTGTGAGGACTCATCAGCACGCACAGAAGCCAAGTCTGCATGCAGGAGAAAATAAACAAGTGAAAAAAGCAAATAAATGGTGCAAGGCAAGTCAGCACACGATGGAACCTCAAGTTCATATCAATTAGGGCCTTTTCCAAAACTCGACGTCAATGTAAAGTCTAAGGTTATGGGATAAAGCAAATTATCTTCCTAACATTTCATATGTCAAAATGTCTTTTCCAACATGCAACTCTAGCACTACGTAATGCTAGACTTGTAAATTGTTCTGGTAAAGCAATGCACGATACAGAAACATGCTGGTCCCATTATTCTGGTGATAGTGAGTTTTGAATAACCTCGGCAACATTAATTGCCTAGGTAAATTACTAAGTTCAGCATAAGCAGGGCAGGGCTTTTGGCAGGACGTAGTCAAAAAAAGAAAAATAAAGATCTTAAAAGAAATGGCTAGCACGTGTGCACTAAACACATCCAATAATTTGTTTAAAAGAGCAATTCGGTGGCCCTGAATGAAGGAAAACCCCTTTCCACTCACTAAGTGGATAATACAGATTTTATATTTCGACTTACCCGATTGCCGAAACAAGAGTAAATTGAGCAACGCAGTAACGCAATTAACGATAGAGCAATAAGAAGAAGCAGGAGACTTGATTTTCCTCTTCTACAAAACGCCAGATAACCAGCTTTACATGACCGGTGTCCATGGTGAACGCCATGTCTGCAACAGAAAACGACGCATTGTATTTTGCACTTCAGCCTCTAAGTTCCTACTAGTCAGGGAATGTAAGAAAGCTTCATAAGGAAAACCTATGGCTTGCACTAAGAACAACAGCCAATCTAACAATACCTGTCTTAAGAAAGGCATTCAAAATATGCCCCTACGGTTCACTGGGGTCGGAAAGGAACCGAAGTTAAATTGGCTGCAGTTGACCCCTCAAAGCAAATTACGAGTACGCTACACGGGAATTCCGAGCAGACTGATACCACGTTTCGCAGGCAGATATTTTTAGGGCGCTGGGGTGGGGTTTCCTAGATCAGACTTCACACACCTTCCAAACCTCTTACGAAAAACATTTGCATACCTCTATCTTTTAAACACATACAGTGAAAAAACTAGGTTTTGCATTTCTGACATAAATCATGCTGAACGAATAAAATCACATACAAAAACGACTTTTTGACATATCTATTTTTATTTTGAGAGAACTGGCTTTTACCAAAGTTTGTGTCCCTTTCCTAAAATCTTAAAGTCAAGAAGAGATTTGAGAACTATCGCTGACCCTGAATTGACCGAAATGTTTTAACTGCATGCATTTTGGGCTGGAGTTCAATGGTCTTGAGCGCCACCAAATAAGTGCTACTGATTCATGGCACAATAAGAAATCGATTTTTTGTTAATAAATATTCAGATCAAAGAGCACTCTTAAACAGCAAGGCAAATTCATTGGAGGTAATTTACACGAGAAACTCACAAAGTGGACAATTCTTCGTCAATATCCTTTGATGCAAATGCATCGCAACGACCATCAACGGGCCGTCAAACATTCCCTGTGACCCCAGCTACTACGGTAGTGTTTGGTGTGGTCGGGATGAGGGCGGCCCCACCAGACTCAACAACACGATAATCAGCGGCCTCCTGGTAGTCTATTCGCCGCCGCTGCCGCGCTAGTTGGGTGTTGGAGAGGGAGTTCACGCCGGCCATGACGCATGCTGGAAGGTCACGAGGAAGTGAAGCGATACTGCTCTCACAACATGCAAGCACAAAATAACGTGTCGAATACATGTGTGCTAGCCATTAGAAAAATCAAGTAAACGCAAGTGCAAAAACGGTTCAAGTCAATACTTCAAGTATTCAGTGGAAACAAGCAAAATGCAGCATGCTAAATACAGGGCAGGAGGAACAGCTAACAGCACTGCTGCACAAGCCAAGGTGTATCAGAATAGAGAGGGTACCATAGATAAAACTAAGTGTGTGCAGGCCAGAATAAACCAGCTTGCGATCGATGGATGCTTCTAAGCACGCCCACTTTGCGTGAAGGAGCCAAATCTCTATGCGGTTGCCAGTTGACCTTGCCTCTAAATGTAGTGAATGAATAAAAATTTAAAAAAATACGAAAAGCAAAGCACCAACAACGAGGATACTGAATTACAATTGAAGACATGGTAGGATCCTTGTACTTCTTACAAATTAAACGAGTTTTAGTAAAAAATAGTACTATTATTCCACTGGCTCACACGCAGTTAAAGAGGGCATAATCCAAGGGTGGTGGACAAAACAACACTCCTTGGCCGCGATATCATCAACACCATGGCAATGAATCTTAATGACTTACCAATGCGAATGTCCTGGAGTAAATGAATAAACGTGCATTTTGTCCTTATTGATTTCAAAGCCCAACCATTAACTGATTGCATAATTTTGACGTCTAGTCAACGCTAGGGCTCTATACAAAGCAATGAAAGGGTCACGAATGTGCAGACTTCGGTGGCCAGGTTGTAAACAATAAGTGTTACCGCTCAAGTGGTCACGTGAATTCTCAAACAGAGCCCGACACAATCAATCAGAGCATCAAGGTAATTTAGGGAGGGGGAGGGGAATTTCATAAACCGAAAGGATCCGGCAAGGAGTTCTTAAATAAATTAATCTATCCTTATAACTCAACACTTCAAATTATCTGCAATCAACACTAAGATGACCAATAAAAGCTAGGCCTAGTAATGTTAGTATCCATTCGTAGATTTGCTCAACAATTGTCCCTATTTTCGAATGTTAATGTGTACTTAGTAAAAATGCGACCAATAGTACAATGTTTAGGTGCAAAGATAACGTTCAAACACGAGTGGAATTCTGCAAATTCGAGGTCCCACAACACTAACCTTATCAGCAACCTGTTAACTGCCGCCAAGGAGGGACTGATGGGAGTGGAGGTGATATTCGGGTAACCATTTGAAAACGCGTTTTGATTAAGAACGGTAGCAGTCCGACTATGTTTCGGTTCAGTTTCTGTCGTAGCTTGATCGCCGCCAGCGTTGGTGGCACTGGTACCCTTCATGCCAGACAGGCTGTTCGAGCTCACCGAGTTAGCCACACCACGCCCAAGAAAGTGATCGCTGCGGATGACACAATAATGACAAAACTCACAATATCGAAATATTTTGATGAATTTGATAACATTTCATAAGTGCACATTACCTCAGGAATCGAATTTGTTTTCTTTAAATATATTGAATTTGTCTGGCCAAAATATATTCCATGAGAGTGAGCCAACCAAGCAAAAATCATAAAACTAAATTCAAAAAACCGACGACCTTGATAATTAAAATTATAACTTACACTTACACTTCGATTTGAATAGATCTCCACCTTGAATCTAAAAAGACGCATCCTTGACACGCACCACAATCCCGCATAAATGAGGGCAATCTGTGTCCTACAGGTTTGAAAAGGTAAAACAAAACATGCATCACACTTTGATGATGACCAATCGACTTAAAAGTACAACTGCACATTAGTACATTGATTTTCGCTGTTTCAGATGAGCAAACATCTTTAAGGATTTTATTTGGTAGCTGATGAATGCAGGAGAACGAAAGGAAGTCCAGGATTTCATTAAACATCCAATGTGTTTGCCAAGATTCTGATCTGCTTTACCTGCTCCGTTAAACATTTTAACTCGTTTTCCCATCGTGTTTTCTTCTAGCATTTACAGCTCATATATACCACACGCTTTGTTACTAAAAAACAATGAGACCTTCGCAAACAATCGTCATGTACAAGATGTTATTAAGTGTTTCATATCACATCCATAACTGAACCACACAAATTTGCAAAGCAGGCTAGAATTTCGTAATGGCAGTTCATTCATGAAATTTCTAAACAAAAATGTCCAAAAATTCCTATCGTAAATATTCGCAATTTACAAGAGAATAATATTTACACGATTTTTGACGCGTTTCCTTAATAAATCTATGAGGCGCATCAGACGTTTTCAAGAGTAGTAGAATATCAATTCGCAATTATGTAACAACTAGGCTTTATGCATTTTGATTATATTTGTCGATAATTTGCACCATTGCTTCACAGCCAGATTGACTAACAATTCAATATAAATCCTGCCAGAAATACTGTATATTCTTGCAAATATGAATTTTAGACGCATTGATTCGTTAGTTCAATTTCCTTCTTCATTGGGTATTCACAAGCTGGAAATGTCAATCATTAAAATTGCACTTTAAATTAAGACGATTTAACTGCAGCACCTGTGTCGTTATATCCAAAACAGCAACCAAACCAAGATTAATTTTTGGTTTTGGATTTGTAAATTTGTGTGGCTCTGTCATGGATGTAATATGGAACTCTAAATAAAACAAAATCAATTAAAAATTAAAACATTTTAATTGACATTCGTTTGCGAAGATGTATCACTGCTGTCTAAAATAAAAATATGCTTTTTTTAAAATTGCGGCTGTAAATAGATAAAGGATGACAAAAAAAAGTAAAATCTTTAACCTGGGTCAGCGTTGAGTGGTTAATATACCATTGTTTATTTAAATTTAGCAGCTACTAGATAAAACGCAGTAAACATGCTT